TGGGTCTCATACATTCATAGAGGTTATAGCTTGGCTCAGCTTGACTCACCTCCAGACCTGTCCCACATTTATGCCAATGGGTGCTACCACCCTTACCAGCCTGGCCTGCCGCCAGTCCTGGATCCCATACTTAGAAGCTGGAGCTGCAGCCCAGCAGGGGAATGCACACAGTCCTCCCACCAGGTCTGCTCCCAGCCCTGGATCTTGCACCAGCCAGGAGGTACTGCATTCCAATCTGACATGACTTACACTAAGTCCTGGACTTGCCACCAGGTGCAGTTGCCTAGCCCAACCTGATGTGCCCTCAGTCCCATCTCTCACTCTGACCAGTGGATGAGAATCCACAGAGTTCTTCTACCAAGCCTGTTCTCGGTTCCTGGTCTTGGTATGTGCCTGTAGGTGCTATAACCCAGCCTGAGATGGCCTACCCTAGTCTCAGCCTTCACTAACAGGTGCTACAGCAGCTCCTAAGTTTGTACTGGAAGATCATTTTCTTGTCCTGATGACCTGGGAACCTAGCCACTGAGTACAATGCTTTTTTATTTTATTCTGTTTATTTTCTATTATTATTATCATCTTATGATACAGTTCCATCGGCCTTGGGATTTCTCCTACTCCCACTGAGTACAATACTTTTTATCTGCTTTACTTTAGACCTCTTTGTCAAATAAGATTAGATAATTGATTTTAGAAAAAAAAAATGGCCAGTTAGTATAGTAGAATCCAGGAACATTTTATGGACAAGATTCAAAAATCACTTATTTCTCATTGGTATAAAAACAGATTTAAAATAAAGAAAAAAAAAACAGATTAAGTGAAAGGTAAATAATGGGTTAAATATTGATCTTTGAAATTATTTTGTAAATAATGATCTTGTTGATAAAATGAGGAATAATTCATGTATATGGTTGACTTTCTACATATAAATATAATGAATAAAACTTTCCTTATGGACAATACCAAGACTACTTACGTAATTATTATTAGGAAAAACTGTTGCTATTTGATATTCTATCCAGCATTTTTGTTGAAATTTCTTCTTGCATTTCTGAGCATCCATCATCATATTGATGTCTCTCCTCTGGCTACTTTTCAGCATCAAAGAAAATGCTATGCTACTTGGAATGTTTTTATGGGTTAAAGCCTTTGTAGCTACTTATATAGTAACCTGAATGTTTTTTCTTGAACCCCCTCCCGCAGATTGAGATTCTTATGAATATTTCTTGAGAGCAAACTGTTAATGCGTTCTAGGACTTTCTTTTGTTTTGATAGATACTGGAGTGGGTATGTGAAAACTAAAACAAAAAAGTTACAATGTAGCAAAATTTCTGGTTTGGAAGTTTTAGTTAGTTGTTTGGAGGATACTTGGAGATTCCATTTATACTTTGGAGATTCCATTTATACTTTACCTTTATGGGAAATTTGACCTCTTAAGGTTACTGTCATGAATTAGAATGTCAAGCATGAAGTTGTTAGTGGGTGAAGCAATATTTACTTAGTTCAGATAAGATGTTCAGATTGAGAGGATGAGATGAGAAGTCTGAGTCAACAAAGCAAATTTAACAGGTTCTTGAAGCGAAACCAGTCAAGTGGGAATTACCCACTTGATACCATTGGTTTCTCACTGCTGCAGCTACTTTTGAGGCCATATGTTTGTTTTAAAGATTTATTTTTATTAAAAAGACACATTCACACAAAGCTCTTCCATCCACTGTTTGTTTCACTCCCCCAAGATCCGCACAACAGCCAGAGCAGAGCAGATCCAAAGTCACGAGCCAGGAGCACGGGTGCAGGGTTCCAAGGCCTTGGGCCATCCTCCACTGTTTCTCAGACCATGAGCGAGAAGCTGGATGAGAAGTGCAGCAACGGAACACAGAGCAGAGAAGTGCGGCAACACGGGCACTTGCAGGCTGAGAATTAACCAGTTGAGGTATCACACCAGCCCTTAGCTCAGCATATTTATCGTTGAATTTGAAAACTAAAAATTGTTAAAACAACGTAGTGGTCTGGAACATATCTTTCACTGCTTGAACAGCATGAGATTATTTTACTGCTTTAGGATTATCATTGGGTGTTACAGAGGCTTCAATTTATTCAACTTAGCACATTTAGGCTTCTACTGCTGAGCATACTCAGTAATAACAGTTATTTCCTAGCTAGTTTATTGCTTAACTTGTATTAAATAGTCTGTTTTACTGTTTAATTATTTGTCACAGGCAGGTAATGTTAGTGCTGTAAGTACTTGAAGTACCACGTAACAGATGAGAATAAGTAAGGCCTAACGTCCCCAAGTATCTGTGTGAAGTTGGCGTTGATATCAGAATATCCAGAAATCTTGAATGTATAAAAAGGTGAAATTTACAGTTTGATCTTTTCAAAACAAATTATCTTAAAAATCATTATCAAAAATGTTTTAAAGATTTATTTTTGAGGGGCCCAGCGGCGTGGCCTAGCAGCTAAAGTCCTCGCCTTGAACCTGCCAGGATCCCATATGGGCGCCGGTTCTAATTCCAGCAGCTCCACTTCCCATCCAGCTCCCTGCTTGTGGCCTGGGAAAGCAGTCGAGGACGGCCCAAAGCTTTGGGACCCTGCACCCGCGTGGGAGACCCGGAAGAAATTCCTGGCTCCTGGCTTCAGATCAGCATAGCATCGGCTTACTTGGGGAGTGAATCATCGGACAGGAGATCTTCCTCTCTGTCTCTCCTCCTCTCTGTATATCTGACTTTGCAATAAAAATTAAAAAAATAAATCTTTTTTTTTTAAGATTTATTTATTTATTGGAAAGTATATACAGATATACAGAGAGGAGGAGAGACAGAGTGGAAGATCTTCTGTCTGATGATTCACTCCCTAAGTGAGTGTAACAGCCAGTGCTGCACCAGTCTGAAGCCAGGAGCCAGAAACTTCCTCCAGGTCTCCCACATGGCTGCAGGGTTCCAAGGCTTTGGGCCATCCTCAGCTGCTTTTCCAAGCCACCAGCAGGGAGTTGGATGGGAAGTGGAGTTGCCGGGATTAGAACCGGCACCCATATGGGATCCCTGTGATTTCAAGGCGAGGACTTTAGCCACTAGACAATGCACCAGGCCCCATTATCGAAATTTTAAATGACCTGTCCAGAATTTCTTCTAGTGATGTGGTCTATAGGTGTCCATAAGATGCCATAACAGAAAATAATGATTTCACACATTATGCTCTATGCATTTATATTTGTAAGATGATTTGCATAGAGTATACGGGCATTATGGTTTTAGCAGAATGTAGTAATTGTGTAGAATGCAGTAATTTAGTAATAAATGTTGAGTGAAAGAATTTTCTTTGCCATTTAATATCCACAAGGATGACTCTTGTGAGAAAAAGACACTGAAAACCATTGGGGCCTGGTGCACTAGCCTACTGGCTAATATCCTCACCTTGTGATCACTGAAATCCCACATGGGCTCCAGTTCATGTACCCGCTGCTCTTCTTCCTGTTCAGCTCCCTGCCTGAGCCTGGGGAAGCAGTGAAGAATGGCCCAGAACCGTTGGGCCCTGTACCGCATGGGAGACCCAACAGCAGCTTCTGGCTCCTGGCTTCAGATTGGCTCAACTCTGGCCATTGCAACTACTTGAGGAGTGAGCCAGTAGACAGAGATCTCCCTCTGTGTCTCTCCTTATGTCTGTAAACCCACCTTTCCAAGAAAAATGAATAAATCTTTTTTTAAAAATCCTTCTCGAGAGTCTCAGGGAAAATTTTTTAAAAAGAAAACTGTTGGTAAAGATGTGAAGAACACTCGCAACTAGACTGTGGTTCCCTGTGGTGAGAGCGAGAGGCAGAGGCTGCAATGTGCCTCAGCATCAGTGTGGACTGGCTTTGGGGCTAGACTCGACTAGACTGACACCCACTGGTGCTCATGAGAGCCAGAATGAGTGTGGATCGAGCTGGGCTAGGTCTTGACTCCTACTGGGTCACGTGAGATCTGTGTCAGGGCATGGACCAGGTGTGGCTGGAGGAAACTCTCAAACTTTGGGCTTGGACAAGCCCAGGATCGGCCCACTGCTGGGCAGAGGTGGATGCGGAGCCAGGATGCCCAGCAAGAAGCCTGGTTGCAGCACAAGTTCTCTCGGCCTCAGCCACATGGCTGGGAGATTCAGACACCCGCTCCTCTGAGCACACTTCTGGATGTGTATGGAAAGTGAAAATGTCTCTTTTAGTAGTAACACCTATGAAATGAAGAAAAAATCCTTCTCTATCTGTATTGTAATAGATGACTTGTAGTTCTGTATTAATCTGCGTAATTTATGCTATCGGGGGTCCTCCCGTCCCGCGGAAGAAATCACCCGACACTTGAGAGAGTCTCCAAGGCGCTTTTTATTCTGCTCCTCCGTCCCGTCGTGACCGTTGTCCGTTGACCGTTATCACCGTTATATCCGTTACGCTCCAGCCCCTCCCCCGCCAAGCCCCCCGCTTAACTGTCAAACTTGACCAATCAACTTAAAGAGAACCAAGGCACACCAATCAGGGCAAAGGGCCAATCACAGGGCAGGAAATGGTCAGTGCCCCCAACATATGCACCTTATTTTTTCATATGAAACAGATTTGTTAAACTTAATATTACAAATGTCTTAGGAATTTGTGCTTTAATGTGCATATTTTATGCCATTTTTCTCCATTTGACATTTAGACTCAAAATAATGTGTTCAGTGCTATAAATTTAAGATCTATGACAAATATAGAATTAATTAACAAATAAAACTTAGTCTTTCCATTTTTATTATAAATTTCTTACAGACAACAATAATTAAGTATTTCTGATTAAAAGGATTGAAAAGAAGGATGAAATAGGGAAAGTTAGTTCTCAGGTCTTAATTTCTCTACATATGCCCATCTAAATTACTTATAAAACCTTGGCTGAATAAATCAGAATTTCTAACTGCATATATAAGAGGATATGAAAAGAACAGGTTTATCTAACTCACTGAGACTGCTCTCTTTGAATTACTAACCATTCTGCTTCTTTCAGGTATCGAGAGCTACAGCTTAGTACAGAAAGCAGAGTATCAGAATTTCTCCATCAAAATAAATTAAAGTGCTTTGAAAATGAACGTATTCAACTTCTACAAGAAGAAACTACAAGAACTCTCGCGCAGTGTCAATTGGAATGTGAAAAATATCAGAAAAAACTGGAGGTATGTATACAATATTCAAAATTACCATAAGGCATGTAAACTTCCTGATTATAAGATTTATATCAGGTTTTACACTGGTACCAGAAACACAAACAAAAGGAAATAAGTATCTCAGAAAGGTAGATACTAAAAAATATAGCTGGAAAGATGGAGAAGGATCTTGTTTGCAATAGTAACCAAGTTTGTAATTACTTAGAATAACTTTAATAAGTACAGTATAGGATAAATATCAAGAAGTTACAAAACTTTGATGATGTCTATAACAAGAAATGCCAAATTTCCAAGAGAATACTCACATTATACCTGTTTCAATTTTTACCTGTTTCAGTATTTTATCATAATACTGTATTTATTAATTTCTAATCAAATGCTGGCACACATTTTAATCTAATCAAGTAATTGTGTCATCCAGCTAGAGCAAAACCAACAGTAGGTAATAGTTAATATCTTTTTAAAAAAGATTTATTTTATTTTTATTGGAAAGGCAGATATATAAAGAGGAGGAGAGACAGAAAGGAAGGTCTTCCATCCAATGGTTCACTCCCCAAGCGGCCGCAGCAGCTGGAGTTGAGCCAGTCTGAAGCCAGGAGACTGGAGCTTCCTCTGGGTCTCGCACGCAGGTACAGGGTGCCAAGGCTTTGGTCCAACCTCGACTGCTTTCCCAGGCCACAAGCAGGGAGCTGGAAGGGAAGCAGGGCTGCTGCGATTAGAACTGGCACCCATATGGGATCCCGGGCGCATTCAAGGAGAGGACTTTAACCGCTATGCTATAGTGCCGGGCCCATAGTTAATATCCTAATGAAGGGAAATACATAGCACATTTTGCATGCATTCTGAGGCAAGAGTAATTAAAAAACACAAACAGTGGAGCCAACACCATGGCATAATATGTTAAGCCTCTGACTGTGGTGCTAGCATTCTATATGGGCACCTCCTTGAGTCCTGGCTGCTTCACTTCCCATCCAACTCCCTATTGATGTACCTGGGAAAGCAGCAGAATATGGCCATGATACTTGGATCCCTGTTACCCACACAAGAAACCCAAACAAACTTCTGGCTCCTGGCTTCAACCTGGCTCATCCCTGGCCATTGCCTCCATTTGGGGAGTGAACCAGTGGATGGAAGACCCACTCTCTCTTTCTTTTAGATAATGCTGTTGTGATAATCACTTAGGTACTCAAGGTAAAAATTGAGCCCATATTTTATACAATATACTAAAGTAAAAGTCATCACTAGACTAAATGTGTATATGGGACTGTGAAGTAGTTAGATCAGTAGTATTCAGTGCTTAGCAACTGAGCATCTCTTAGACAGTGTGAATGTAATTGGGCCTGATTATGCACACAACTTTTAGCAAGAAATTACTCCTATCCACACTAAACAGTTTTGAACAAGACTTGAATAGGACTTCCTGGCATGATTAAAATGTTCTATCAGTAGCCAGTATTTTTATACCTGGAATGTGTTCAGTGAATTGAAGAACTAAATTTATTTTAGTTAGTCTTCATTAAATTTAATTAACCACAAGTGGCTAATGGGTGTGCAATTGGGTTGCACATTCTGGACATTTAACCTGATAGCACATTCTTACCATTAGGCAGTGGTGAGAATCAGACCTTTTTTTAGCTTCCATCATAAAAGAAAAATTGCTACTCTTTTCAGTCAAAAACAAATACTTATATTAGTATTGGATGGAAGTTATACCTCTGGACTATGGTCAACAGACCGAAAATTGGCATTACATTTTTAGTTACCGATTTCTAGATAAGTTACTCATTTTCTTTGGTAACTGTTTCCTGACATTGTCGTAGAGTCTACTTAGCACATGTTAGAGCACCCAGTATTCCTAGCACACATTGGAAGTTCTCAAAATATTTTGTTTCAGTACTACAGAATTTTTTTTTAGCTAAAGTTAGGAAATATTGAAGAAATTGAAGTATTCTTTCCCAACAATAATAGATAAAAAGATAAATGGGAACTTGCCATTCTCCTTTCAGATATAATAATACATCGTCTAGTAAACTCAAGCATTTTGTTTATCCAGTTTTCCTTTCTGTATATGAAAGTTTCTTTCATAGTATCGAAAATACGCAATGGGAAGTCATTGTAAGCAAAAGTTAGGCAGTAAAAGAACAAAGCTAATCAGACACATCTCCCAAGGGAAAAATGATCAGATAGTAAAGCATTTTTCCAAACTTGTAATGTAAGAAAATTTGATTTTACAAAGTATCATAAAATGCAACTGTTTGTAATCATGAGGAATATTTTAACAATTTTTGTTTGAGTATCCTCTCAAAACTACTTGAAAAGATCTGTACATTCTTAGTGCTGTCTTTTTAACAATAGTTTGGCATTGTATATTTTGTAAGTATATCATAACAATATAAAAATATAATTTTTAGATTCTTATTGCAGTAATAGAACGATAAGAATTTAAAAATTATAAAATCCTATCACTAGAAAGTTGTTGGTCACATCACAATATATGTGGTTATTGTTGCATTTTTATTTGTTAATGTTTGGTTTAAATGTAACAGAGGTGTGTTTAACAGAATAGTATCCAATTGATATTTTAAGACCACATAATTTAGAAAATCCATTTTATTGTCATATTAGATGATAAAATTGCATACCTTGAAAGTACTAAGTGTCTAAAACTGCATGGTAAAGGAACTATGTAGAAGAAGTCTGTAGCTAAACTGTTACCCACGTTAATAGTAGTTAAGACTAATTATCTGGGGTCTGGCGGCTGAAGTCCTTGTCTTGAATGCACCAGGATCCCACATGGGCGCCGGTTCTAATCCCGGCAGCTCCACTTCCCATCCAGCTCCCTGCTTGTGGCCTGGGAAAGCAGTCAAGGACGGCCCAAAGCTTTGGGACCCTGCACCCCTGTGGGATATCCGGAAGAAGTTCCTGGATCACAGTTTTGGATCAGCATAGTACCGGCCATTGCGTTCACTTGGGGAGTGAATCATCAGACGGAAGATCTTCCTCTGTCTCTCCCTCCTCTCTGTATATCTGATTTCCAATAAAAATAAATAAATCTTAAAAAAAAAAAGACTAATTATCAGATAGGTCAAGAGTTTGTTTTATGTTTGATTTCTACTTTTTTGTTCATAGAGGAAATTAAACTATTTAATCACAGAACTAGTAAGTGACTAAGCTATGATTAAGAATCTCCCCAGCCTCAGTCCAATCGCAAGCTTTTCAAAAGAGTGATATTCAGATAAGCAATGCCAAGGTACTTTCAAAACTGTGGGAGGTGGAACCCAAAAAATGATTTATTTTGGTGCCAAAAGAACAATACATGGAATCCATGTATAGTTATCTCTCATATATTATCCAAAAGAAATTTGCACCAAAGAAAAAATTTAGTACCAGAGTTACTCAATTTTTATTTCCATTTTAGCATGAACTTTACATTAAGTATTTATTATGATAATTTCTCAAAAATTACATTTCTGAAAAGAGCTCTGGTTCTCTGGTTCATAAAATTAAGCATAGCAGTATGAAGGATCTCAGAAAACATAGCCATAATAGAAAGCATAAAAATACGTTAACAATGTGTAAAGACATATAAGCAAAAATTATAGATGATATCTGCTTCTCAAGTAAATTGATATTCTGCTTTTAAAACCACTTCAAATGTCTTCTTCTGAAAACTGCTCGTCTCATATCTGTTGCAACTGCTCATGCCGCACATTTTGGGGCATTCAGTTGAGCTCTGATTTATAATTTGTCCTCTGTAAGCTTTGTATCTCATGGTATACTCTTCCTCAATCCCAGCCAACTGCCTTTCCTGTTCCTTTACATACTGAATCTATGTGCTTGAGAACCCTGGAGCTGAGGTGGGAATGGATTGATAGAAGAAGGTGTTTAAAAATAGAGAATAATTCCCCCCTATAATATCAAATGTGTCGCTCACCTTTAGGATGTAGGGTGTGTTATATTCAAAACCAGCATATTCTGTAGTCTTCAGTTACTTGCAAACTGATCTAAATTTCTGACCTCCTAAAGGTTGGGATTTGCAATTTGAAAACTACTTCTCTATAGATCCATTCACATACCGCTGTAGAACTGAGCTTAATGCAGCTAAAGCTAAAGCTGAATCCAACAGCTAGAACTAGGAGCTTTCTCTGGGTCTCCAACAAGGATGCAAAAGGCCCAAGGGCTTGGGCTATCCTCTGCTGCTTTCCTAGGCCATAAGCAGGGAGCTGGATGGGAAGTGGGGCTGCCAGGACAGAACCCGGTGTCCATATGGGATACCATAACTTGCAGTCAGAGATTACCAGTTGAGCCATTGTGCTGGCCCCTAATCTCTTTTCAAAACGGCACTTCATGAAGTATCTCATCTTCAGTGTTTTGAGTGGGATAAGTCATTTAATACTACGTTTATTGATTTTCTCTTGTAGCAGTTGAATTGATTCCATCAGCCAACAGATTATTTACCTCTATTTTTAAGAGGAGAAATAAAAGAACAGATAGACAGAAATCTTCCAGCCCTTGGTCACTCCCCAGCTAACCATCACAGTCAGGGCTTGAAGCTACACAAGAGCCAGAAACCCAGCATCTCACACTTGAGTGGCAAGGACCTAAGTCTGGGAGCTGTTACCTGCTCTCTGCATCAGCAGGAAGCTGGACTTGAAATTAGAGCTGAGACTGAAACCCAGACCCTAAGATCTAAGTTGCAAGTGTCTTAAAGCAATACCTTAACAGCTGTGCCACATGCCTGCCCTGGCTACCAGGTTCTTAATCATGTCCTGACATAACGAACTCCATGAAAACCTCATACTGATTCACTGAGCAGCATTCTTATTATCAGTTAATACACTTTTTTTTTTTAAAGATTTATTTTTATTATTTTTTATTGGAAAGGCGGATATACAGAGAGGAGAGACAGAGAGGAAGATCTTCCGTCCGATGATTCACTCCCCAGGTGGCTGCAACGGCCGATACTATGCCGATCCGAAACCAGGAGCCTCTTCCGGGTCTCCCGCACGGGTGCAGGGTCCCAAAGCTTTGGGCTGTCCTCGACTGCCTTCCCGGGCCACAGGCAGGGAGCTGGAAGGGAAGCGGGGCTGCCGGGATTAGAACCGGCGCCCATATGGGATCCCGGGCGTGCAAGGCGAGGACCTTTAACCACTTGCGCCACCGCTCCGGGCCCAGTTAATACACTTTTATAGAACACATTCCTAGTCACCAATAATAAAAGAGAAATAATGCTGAAGCATGAATTTTGTTTTTCTGATCCAGTCAGAAGCACTAAAAATTATCTTAAAATACTTTCTCTGTTACTGCTTCTCCACCATCCAAACAAATGTATGGGGATAATATTTTGTCTGCTTTTAGGGGAAATTTTGATGAAAATTGAAGAAAATGACATGGAATAAGTCCAGGAAAAAAAAAATGAAAGTTTCTACTTGTCAAGAACTGTAAATAAGATTTCTTTATTTTCTGTATGTTTTTCACCATCACAGAAAACCCACACGTACACACTTTTGTTAAGGTGAACTTTAAGTCCTAGAGGAAATCAGTTGTCTTTCAAAATATTTAATTATAGAGAACTTAGGTAATTATACCAGTGGAGCTTTATTTCCAAGAGATGATTTAATGCAAAGTTTCATAATTGCATTTATAACAGCCACAGTATTTTTCAGCACTGTATTTTAGGCACTCTGCTAGCATTCTGAATTTATCAATACATTTAATTCTTTCCACAGTGTTGGAAGACAGGCCTAAGGAATTACCTAGGATCACAGCTAGGAAGTGTCACAGTCATATTGAAAACCAAATACTTCTGGCACCAACCATATTCTTAACCGTAATATTTTGTTTCCTCTCAGGAAGCAGTACTTTCCTTATGCTGCTTAATGAATCAGGCACAGTTAGTCTAGTTCTAGGAAGTAAACTACCAAGTACAGTAAGTGAACGTTCTAAATTGAAGTTGACTTTGAATGTTAAAACATTCCTTTGCTACTTGGAGCATCTGCTGCCTTATTGTCATGATAGCGATTCCTTCCATGAAGGGCACAGATGCTCTACTGTGCACAGAATGACTCTTTTGTAGGTTTTCTTTATTCCTTTTGTGATAAAAAAAATTTTGTCCTTTTCTTTGCAAAGACGTTTTATTATACTGACCCCATGCAATACTTAACTTTACCTTTTGATTTGTTCACTTGAATTTGTGACTTTTCAGAAAACCAGAAATATTACTAAAATTATGGAAAGGTTAGATTAAATAAATCCTCATAGAAAGATCAAGGTCTGTTTAGGAGTGTATCATTTTTATGCACAGTGTTGTAAGACTTTCTCAAAAAGCTGTGACTGCCAAATAAATGACTTCCACACATGTGGGCATTGTTGGGTTTTTCTTTTTTAATTCTAATAAGCAAATGCTAATCTTACTCCTGTTACTGTTTCTAAGTTTTAAATTCATTTTTATTCAGCTCACACAATAAAGATAGTGAATACTTTTCAGCTGAAAACAACTGAATTATTTACCTAACAGGTAAATGTTTTGCTTCATTAGTTAACTAAATCATGCTACTTTCTCTTAAGAGTTATTTAAAAAGAGAAAAGTCATATATCATGTTTTTGTTATAGCTGTATAATTCTTTTCTTTCATTTGTAGGTTTTAACTAAAGAATTTTATAGTCTCCAAGCCTCTTCTGAAAAACGCATTACTGAACTTAAAACACAAAACTCTGAGTATCAAGCAAGACTGGACATTTATGAGAAACTGGAAAAAGAACTTGATGAAATAATAATGCAGACTGCGGAAAGTAAGTCTCCCCCGAACTTCCAGTGCACATACATGCACATGCGTGCACACACACACACAAACTTTTTTTCTGGCCAGTGCAAGAAATCTGACATCATTTCTAACCCTATGTTGGTGTATAATTGTTTTAAGAATAGTTGGTGATGATTTTTTTTTAGATATATTATTAGATATTAAAATGTTTTTGGTATTCTATGTTTTAAAAAGTAGTTCATCTTTATTATAACTGTTATAATCAAAGAACAAATACAAAGCTGGGTATCTGGCCTCAAAGTCAAAACACTTACTGAAGACACCTGTGCTATGTTAGAGTGCCTAGGGTTGACTCAGCACTTTTCTCCTGGCTGCAGCTTCACACTAACACAAACCCTGAGAGGCAGCAATGATGACTCAGTTGATTGCCTTCCTGCCACATGTATGTGACATCTGGGTAGAGCTCCTGTGCTCCCAATTTCAGCCATATTCCAAAACCATTGCAGCCATTTAGAAAGGGAACCATTGGATGGGAGTTCTTTCACTGTCCTTCTGCCTATCGAAAAATATAGTTAGGGCCTGGTGGAGTGGCCTAGCGGCTGAAGTCCACGCCTTGAATGAGCCAGGATCCCATATGGGCGCCAGTTCTAATCCCGGCAGCTCCTCTTTCCATCCAGCTCCCTGCCTGTGGCCTGGGAAAGCAGTCAAGGACAGCCCAAAGCCTTAGGACCCTGCACCCCTGTGTGGCAGACCTGGAAGAAGTTCCTGGATCCTGACTTCTGACTGGCATAGCATTGGCCTTTGCGTTCACTTGGGGAGTGAATCATCGGACGGAAGATCTTCCTCTCTGTCTCTCCTCCTCCGTGTATATCTGACTTTCCAATAAATAAATAAATCTTTACTATATATATATATAGTTAATTTTTTTAGAAAGGAAGAATAGGTTAAATATGATGTATTTCACTTTTTGTTTAGTTCGTTCAAAAAAATTGGGGATAGGGATTTCATGCAAATAATTTTCATCTCATAGGAATTTGTGTATTCTCCTGGGAGAAACAAGCATTACTATAAGCCATAAGCAAGACATAGGCAGTTCCCAGTGAGAGTACAGAAGAGATCAAGATTGAATTCCACATTGGATCAAGAAAGATGACACTTCAATTGTGTCTTAACAAATGAGTAGGATTTCATTAGGTGTACCTTTATAGTTCTTTCTTTCTCTTGTGTTGCTCTCTTCCTGCCCTGTTCCTAGCTCCAGGCAGTACTTTCAATTAAAATTTCACCACTGGCTGATTTTTTTTTTTTGCTATAGTACATTATTTGTGTTTAAAATGGGAAATAACAGTGACATTCTTTTACTGCAATATAATTTTTTTAAAGACTTACTTATTTTGTTAGAAAGGCATATTTACAGAGAGGAGAGCTGAAAGAAAGATCTTCTGTCCACTGGTTCACTCCCCGACTAGCCTTATCAGCCGGAGCTAAGCTGACCCAAAGCCAGGAGCCAGGAGCTTCTTCCGGGTCTCACACATGGGTACAGGGTTCCAATGCTTTGGGCCATTCTCAACAGCTTTCCCAGGCCAGAAACAGGGAGCTGGATGGGAAGTAGAGCAGCTGGCACATGAACCAGTGCCTGTATGGGATCCCAGTGGATGCAAGGCAAGTATTTAGCCATTGAGTCATCATGTTGGGCCTTGCAATAGAATATGAGTCAAAGTGATGGCTAAATGATTTGGGGTATTTATGAAATGATTATATTTATAGGTCTATTTAAGTAAAATTTAATTCCTGTTGTCTAATTTTCCACTTCCAAAGTCAGTGTCTGTGACTACAACAGAATCCAAATTCGTCCTGTTTCTTCTCTAAAGTCATTGTAATCTTTATAAAATGCAGGTTTGATCATATCTCTGTATTGTCATTGTTAAGACTACATGAAGTCGTAATCCTTAAGGTGACTTTTTGTGATCAAACACTTGTTATGCCTTTCTGCTATTCATGTCTTAGCATTCTTATGATGCCATATTGTTTTGAAAGTTCTGTACTTTTGTTTCTGAATTCTAAAGCCTTGCATATATTCCTTTGTATAAACAAAATACAGTGAAACCCATTTACAAAAAAAAAAAAATTAAAACCCAGCCAATAAAATTTTGGTTGACTATTGAATATTTTTCCCATTAAAATAGAGAATAAGGCACTGATTTCTATTTCATGACCTCTATTAAATTTTAGCTACTAATCAATGGAGAAAAAAGGAAAAAATAAAATACAAAGATCAGAAAAGAATGGTTATGGTTATACTTTCAGATTACAAAACCTACTATATATTGATGTCTAGTAGAATATAAGAGCATTACGTGAAAATATCCTAGAAGCATTCACTTGAGAAAGTAAATATGAAAGACAATTTGATAATTCCACGTAATTTTTAAACACAGAATGCTCAGGATTAAGACGAACACTGTTAAACAAAATTAAAACTCCTTCAAAATCAAGAAATAAATCATAAAATCTATAAATGTAGTGTGGTCTCAACCATGCCAGCCGACTTTTCTGTATTCACTTTATATGGATGTGTAACAGCCAAAGCAATTTTGAGAAAAGAATAAGATTGGATGGTCTAAACTGCCCAGATTTAAGACTTACCATAAAGCTACTCTGTCTGACTGGTATAGTATAATGTGGTATAAGGAACAGAACAGAGAACTCAAATAAGACCCTTTTTTAAATGATTTTTTGATTTTTTAAAATTACATACTGCTTTGTTTGAGAGGCAAAATTAGTAGACACAGATTTTTTTTTAATTTCAGTTTTTTTTTGAAAGGCAGAGTTAACAGAGACAGAAGGAGAACCAGAGAGAATCGTCCATCCACCAGTTTACTCTCCAGGGTAAACAGCTTCAGTGACTGGGGCTGACTGGGCCAAATGGAGAGCCAGGAGCTTTATCTCAGTCTCCTGGATGGGGACAAGATTTACGTGCTGAGGTCAGTTCTGCCACTTTCCCAGGCACATTAGCAGGAAGCTGGATCAGAAGTGGAGCTTCTGGGATACAAACTGTTTTAACAAAGCAAAAAAAAAAAAAAAAAACCAGACAAAAAAACACACACTCAGGTTTCTTAAAAAGTTTGTTCAATAAATGTTAATAAAAATTGAACATCTTTATCAATGAACCTCAGTATACCAGTGAACCACAGTATACCAATATTAGTTTGCAATGATGTCTAAATATAGTAGCTAAAATTAAAAAAAAAAAAAAACTTAAACCGAAGTCATACTTGAGTAACTTTGCAGCTAGGAATCAGCTCAGAGTTTTTTGGCCCCTGCCAGCGTTCACTTTAAAGAAATATATAGTCAAAGGAAATGTGATACGGTAGGAGGTCAGGGAGAATTTGAAGGTGCTATACTGTTGGTTTTGCAGATGGAGCAAGGTGTTAAACTAAGGCGTGCAACCAGTCTCAAGAAACAAAGAGATGAGGAAATGGACTCTGCACAGTAGCCTTGAGACAGAACTTTAGCCCAGTGAGACTGACTGCTTTTGGACTTCTGACCTCTAGAACTATAAGATAATAAATTTGCGTTTATTTATGGCATGCTATAGCCCAATGAAGAAAGAAAATTGTCCAATTTAAAAACACCAGTCAAAAGTCCAGGTGTGGGAAGCCTTTTTCTGCCGAGGATCATTTGGATATTTGTAAGATCATTCTTGAACCATACAAAATTATCAACTTCAAAATTGGTGTGCTATAGTTTTCTTTAATTTAGAGGAACTATTCACTTTTGCCATAATAGAGCCAGAGATGATTTCCTAAGCCTGTGGACTGAATGTTCACTAACTCAGAGCCGAACATTTTGCAAAACAAAGATGTATGCCTGGCCAATAAGCAGAATAAAAGTATTCCACATTGTTAGTCATGAAGCAAATGCCAATTAAAAGCCCTATGATGGTCACCATTGTGACATAGCAAGTTAAGCTGCCACCTTTAACACTGACATCCTCAAAGTATATATGTACACTATTCCAAGCCCCCTGCTGATCTACTTCTCATCCATCTCACTGCTAATAGCCTGAAGAAGTAGCAGAAAGTGTTCCAGGTACTTGGACCCCTGCCACACAGGTTCCTGGGAGACCTGGATGGAGCTCTTGGCTCCTTACTTCAGCTCACTTCAGCCCTGACAGTTGCTGCCATCCTGGGAGTGAATCAGCGGATGGAAACTTGTTTCTCTTTCTCTTCTCTTTTCTCTCTCACTCTGTCTCTGTCTCTATCTATCTCTCTCTTCCCTTTCCCTGTATAACTTTGTAATAAAAATAAAATGAATCTTTGAAAAAAAGTTCAAATTGCCTGTTACAAATGCTGATGAGAATACGAAGCAACTGAAAAATTCTTATGAAGTAACCAAAGGACTCAGTGATCCAACAATTCCATTCCTAATTATTTACCCAGGGTAAATGAAAGCATATATACAACAAGGTTTTATCCAGGGGCTGGCAGTAAGGTGTTGCAGCTGCCTGCTGCAGTAGTATCCTGTATGGGTGCTAGTTGGAGTCCCTGCTGCTCCATGTAACATCCAGCTCCCTGCTCATGTGCCTGGAATGGTCCAGGCCATTGGGACCCTGCACCAATGTGGGAGACCCAGAAGAAGCTTTTGGTTCCTGGTTTCTGACCATCCCAACTCTGGTCATTGCAGCCATTTGGGGAGCAAACCAGCAGATGGAAGATCTCTCTCTTTTTCCCTCTCTTTCCCTGTCTGTAACTCTGCCTTTCAAATAAGTAAATAAATCTTTAAGAAAAAGAAGAAGAAAAGAATTGAAGGTGGATGATGAGCTATAATTGATGAACTGCTGAGCTGTTCATAGTTGCTTTGTTCAAAATGGCGAAAATCTAGTAACAGTTCTGGAGTTTGTTACAGGATCAGAGAAACCTTCATGCATTCATAGAGGAGAATAAGACTCCTCAGTAGAAACAGCTGATTTACTCCATAATATGGGTGAATCTGCAAATGTTTTGCTTGATCTTATAGCCTTTCCTGAAAAGGTCCATGCAGTATGATTAAATTTTTTCAAGTTTTAGAACAGACAAACTATGTTTGGTTAAAAAACTAGAACAGTACTTTTCTCTAAATATGGCTGTCACCATAGTTAACTAGGCAAAGAGTTGGGAGGGAACTTTCCAGAATGTTCAGTGCTTTTGTATATCTTATGTTACATGTGCGTTTACCTTTCAGAACTTTTATTAGCTTCAAAACTTGGTTGAATGGTAGATTTAAGATTTTTATTTTCACCATACCTAGGTTTTGTATTATGAAAATAATTGGGGCCAGCACCATGTTGTAGTAGGGTAAGACGTCACCTGCATTGCTGGCATCCTATATGAGTGAACCAGCAGACTGAAGATCTTTCTCCCTCTCTGTTTCTGTCACTCTCTGTGACTCTGCCTTTCGAATAAAAATAAATAAATATTTTTAAAAAGAAGAAAAGAAGGTGGATATTGAGCTTTAGTTAATCAACTGCTGAGCTGTGTTCTGAGAGTGAAATTTGCCTAAGTGTGTAACTTACTTTGAAATGCATTAGATGGTGAATAAAAGGATGGATAGATGTGTGATCCGCATGTATAGTAACAGTGTTTAAATTAAAGCCAAACATTTGGTATAAGAGTGTATATTTCACAGTTCTTCCAGCATTTCTATATATGTAAACATTTCATAAAATCTTTAGGAAAATGTAGACATTAGTTTTTGTTATGTTGCCTTAACTGTACTGGAGGATCAGTAATTAGGTTTTTCATTATCAGCTCATCCTAGAAATTATATCCTATTCTTAATGAATACTTCTTGATTAACCAAAATTACATTTTTTATAATGAAGTATACACAGTTTTCAGAGGTTAACCATCCAATTCAGCTAATGTCAGCAGACATGAAAATCATCAGGTTTCATTTACTAAGACATAGCCATCTGAAATTACAGAATCCTGTCAACACTTGTTTTCTTGTCAGAATTGTTTTCTTTGAACCAAGTAAATGTATTATTAGAATATTTCAGTTTAGTTTAAAAGTTGTTAAAATTCTAAGTGTTGTCTAAATGCCAAATAGAATTAAAAGACTGTTCATCTGTATTTCTGGTTGCATGGCCATTCCCGTCCTGCTTGTAACCCCTGTCAGGTGTTTCTTAGAACTCTGTTCTGCTTTGGAATAACCTTGGCTTGATGGTTTCTCCTCTGTTGGTCTTGTCTGCTCTACCTGGCTCTACCACTGTCTGCTCCAAAAAACAGTGCCCAGCAGGTTTTCTCTAGTTCTCTTCACTTTTTAGATACTTACCAAGTGTGTAACCTATTTTGTGGATTATCTTATTCCTTCCTATAGTTTTTATATGATCTGCTCCTAAAACATGTTCAAAACATTCTGATGGCATTTACATCATTGTACAGTATATTGTGTGTAAGTAAATCACTTGTATAATAGTTACCCTTATGTGTTAATGCGTCCATTAGTATCTAACTAATGGGTTTCCGAGACATTAACAAAATTTACTCTCTCCCCTCTGATTGTTTTTAACTATTTAGGAAAAATGAGAAGCAGACATGTATGTAAATACCATCTCCAGTTTTGCTGGATTGAGTTGAAGAAGTCATCTTGAATATGGAGTTGTCTGATAGCTGATAGCAGTCCTGGCTATAGCATGCATCATCTTGTCCATTGTGCATCATAAACTTTCTTTTTAAAAAAAAAAAGATTTATTTATTTTTATTGGAAAGTCAGATATACAGAGAGGAGGAGAGACAGAGAGGAAGATCTTCCGTCTGATAAGTCACTTCCCAAGTAACCACAATGGCCAATGTTATGCCAGTCCTAAGCCGTGATCCAGGAACTTCTTCTAGGTCTCCCACATGGGTGCAGAGTCCCAAGGCTTTGGGCTGTCCTCAAGTGCTTTCCCAGGCCACTAGCAGGGAGCTGGATGGGAAGCAGAGCTGTCAGGATTAGAACCGGCGCCCATATAGAATCCTGGCTCATTCAAGGCGAGGACTTTAGCCACTAGACCACGCTGGCAGGCCCGCATCATAAACTTTCTAATGTTTTCCAGTTGAAAATGAAGATGAGGCTGAAAGGGTTCTGTTTTCCTACGGCTATGGTGCTAATGTTCCCACAACAGCCAGAAGACGACTAAAACAAAGGTAAAATCAATATGTATTTATTTTAATTATCTACTCAGGCTAAATGTAATTACATTGTGATTTTTGGTAATATGCTTAGTTGGTGATGAAGTTACTTTAGTCTTAGAATGCATGAAGATGAAATTTCTCACTAATTAAACAGCAAGTAATGATCATACATTTTATATATATATATTTGAGTATAATGATTAAAAATATATATGTCAGAATTTTCATATCTAGTAGTTATCTTTTGGGATACTTCTTTAAATTACCATAACAGGATATTCTACCTGTATTGGTCAGTGTTTTAGTTGACCTATCTAATATTTTCTTGATTTTTCTAATTCATTGTAGTTTGAAAATAAATCACTGTCTGCCCCCATCTGCTATTGCATCAGATGGGAATGTCTCCACCTGACTTCCAAAGCTCTCTTTATTTAAGTCCCATTTCTCCAGCCTTTTAAACTTCTCTACTTGACATGAGGGTAGGTCTATCTCTTTGCCTGTGAATATCTGTTTATTCATGTCACAAAGCAGAATATATCTGTTAATACATTAGCTGTGGTTCCCCAAGTGATTTTCCCAACCTGGTGCAAAGTTCTGCAGGATTATAGACCATATCTTAGTCTCATTTTTTCTCAGTTTTCTCTACCTAGCTCACTGAGAGATGATTAGTAGAATTATTTCTTCATTAAGTATCTGAGGATTAAAGATTTAAAGCTGCCTCCTTGCCAGCCTGGGCTAGGCTATAGCACCCATCAGTGAGACTAAAATGGGTGTAAGCCAGTTAGGCTAGGCTGTAATACCCATTGATGAGTGTCAAGATTGGGGACCACCCGTGACAGTCTGGACAGCAGCACTCACCAGCCCATGTGAGATCCTTTGCTGGGAGTGGGCCTAACAGGGGAACTTAAGGAACTTTCCTGCTAGGCCATAGCTTCCACTGGTAAACATGAAGCATGAGATCTGGGGCTGGGAATAGGCCAGACAAGGCTGAATTGCAGCACCCTTTGACATACTTGTGAGCCAGGTCTGATAGCAGGCTTGGCAGGGTCAGTCAGCAGTACACACTCGCACAAGTGAGAGCCAGGACAGAGTGTAGGCCAGGCTGCAGCACCTGTGAGTTCACATGGTGGCTGGGGCTGGGCTAAGTTATGCTAGGCTTCTGTACCCACCAGTGAGAGCTAGGACTGAAAGTGGGTTGGGCTAAGCCAGGTTATAGCACCTGCTAGCGAATGCCAACACTGGGATCAGGCCATTTCAGACTGGCATGCACAAGACCTGGTGCTTGGAGCAGACCTAGCAGGGGAACTTCAGGGACTCCATTGCTGGGCCACTTCTTCCAGTGGTGAGAGTGAGAGCTGGGACTGGGAACAGATCAACTTGGGCTTGGCTGTGACATTTGCTGGCATGTATGAGCACCAGAATATGTGCATTTCAGCCAGACTAGGCTGCAGTACCTGCAGGCAAGTTTCATGCTTGGCTGGACCACAGTACCTCCTGGCAGGTATAAGACCAGTGGCTGAGAGAATGCCTGTCAGGTAAACAGTGGACACTCCCCCGTTAAGCTTTACCTACCCCTGGTGAACATGAGAACCTGGGCTGGTGATAGACCAGGTTGGACAAGGCAGAGACACCTGTCAGGGTGAGTCTGAGGTTGGATTGGGCTGTGCTAAGCTGCAGAACCCAGGGGTATGCATAAGAGACAAATTGGTGCAGATTGGGCTGTGGTAGCATGCAACAGATGTTGGCATGTGTGGAAACTGGGGCCTAGGTGGGAAGTTATTAGGGGTCACCCCAAGTATGCTGTGATGCCTGCTGCTATACACGAGAACCAGGTCCATGGTCTGCTGGCTGAACTGGACAGCAGCACCCAACAGTTCACATGATATGGGGCTTCGACAGGCTGTACTGGGCAGCTCTAACCACCAGTATGTGCACAACCTGGTACAAGTGACAGACTAAACCTCACCCAGCACTGGCTGGTGCACACAACAGTTAAGTCTTGAGATCACCAAGGTTTCTTGGTGGGCACCACAACTGGACCACTGGACTCAGATCCCAGCCACAGAGAAAAATCACAGGAAGTGTAGTCTGACCTGAGAATGCATGTGTCAGGACTGGGCCTCCTCAGTTGCTGTTGCCTGTGCAGTAGACACCATGCTGTGATGCACAGAAGAGACAGGACATCTAGCTCATCTAGGCCAGCAAAAGACATCAACTGCCTTGTCAAACGATGGAAAGCAGAACAGGTTGGACAATTCTCCAGGACAAGCTTTGCAACATGTTACTGGGTTTGTGAATACACACTGAGGTGAATTTGATCAGCCAACAGTCCTTGGAAAGATTTTCTGAGCCTTGGACCAATGAAACCAACAATTTCTCACAACTATCAAAACTACTCAAGTAACACCCTCAGAACACTCTTTCCCAAATCAGGGTCTCTAAGGTATCATCATCCCTGGAAGGGCCTCATACCTGGCCCTTCTAACCCTAATCAGAGGCCCACATGGACATGCATCTCTCTCAGCTGTTTAAACAATATTACAAATAAAATAAAAAATTGAAAAATCTGCTTCCTTGTTTGTTCATTTTTTTATGTGAATTGATGAAGTAGATGTTTAGAGACACTCAACCCTAGGCAACAGAAAAAATCTCTTAACTCATACTTTTGTAAAAACTTTGAAATGATATCTCTAAGATTGAAATTTCCTTACGACTATCTAAAATGATGTAGGACATAGAATATCTTACGGAAAGTAACAAAACAATGTTCAGGAGTTAAGCCTGTTACTGATTAACGGAATTATCTGCCAAGTTTGGATCAAGGACGGAAGAATAGGAAATATCCATTTGTAGCTGGACTGATTAGATCTGCCTGGTAAAGGTTCAAGTATTTCTAAATTATGTCATATTTAAACAATCAGTTGTAGTCCTGACTCTTACCATTCTTTCCAAAGATCACTGTCAGTGACCTGGAAGATTTTATCATTGTCAACCTATCTCTATGTTTTGAGTGTAATGTTGCATAGGGAGAAAGGTAGTTAAATGGCTATGAGAATTCTTTCTCTGTGCTAAATGATTGATAACGTGAAAATCAAAAGTAAATGGGGAAAGTTCACTCTCTTCTCTATTTTAACATCTGAATCCCTCCAGTGAACTTTTTTTTTAGCCCCAAATGCTGAGTTCCTTTGAAATTGGAAGCAATTATTGTTGTTATATCATACTATTTTTAGTTTCTGAAAACAGAGATTGATTTCTTTAATATTTACTGTGAAGATTTAAGGAACCACATCTGATTCATATTTTGAATAATCGTAACTGTTCAAATATTTCTAAAGATTCTATCACCAAGCTATCTATGTGCCTTGAACAAGTGCCTAATGGGTATGCTATTAATATGCCCTGCCAGCTGGTGCCAGGCATTCTTCTCATGGTGAGCCAGAGAGTTATTTTGAGGAAGTGCTTCTCAGGTCATCTAAACTGAGGGAAGGGAAAGTGAGACTAGATATCCAAAGGGACATTTATGCATTCCTAAACCCATTCATTCAAGAGCTTTTATTGAGTGCCTACTGTATTCCTAAACTTGACCAGTGGCATCGAAGACCAATTAGGGTGGGATGTCTTTCTGAAGTGTACAAGATCCATATTTTTTAGTAGGTACGAATAAAAAAGATGTATGTTCTTTTTAAGATGGAAGGAAAGCTGCCTTTCAAAGAATATGTAATTAAACCTTCAAATTTGAAATTAAAGCAATAGAAACTTAAGGTGAATTAGAAAATGACTCAGAGTAGTAAATGAATTTCCATACTAAAAGTTTGCAGTATATATCAGTCTTTAACAAAAATACTTCAAAAACATCAAAGGTACTTTTTTCTCAAGTATTACAAAAAATATTATGCTCATCTCTAAGTTGGTTTTAAAATTTCATACATTTAACAACTGGAATCATATATTTTAGAGTAATATTTAATTGGAAGGAAATTTCTAAATAAGAATATGTTTCATAAAATTAAGGAAACTACTAGTAATCTTACCACCTAAAATAACTATTCAGAAATATTTATGTGTGTGTTTGTTACATACTCGGAGTTTCTTATGTGCAGTTTAGTAGTTAAATTTTTCATTTTCGCATTCTGTATTAAACATTGTCTTAGCATCATATATTCCTCTAAAAGATCATTTTAATGGTTATCCAAAATTTCAGTTTCTAGGACTTCTGGTTTAAAAGCCTATATTGCTGTTAAATTTAATAGCCTCTAAAAAATTTCATTGGTTGCCATTTCTACCCAAGGAACACTATGAAATTAAGGTTTGAAAAAGAAAATGGATGTGATGTCCTCTACACGGTGCATGGCATAAAGTAGATATTCGACAAATGCTAATTTATCGCACCAACTAATATGTTCTTAAAGTAAATGGCATAATTAATTTTACAGGAAAAGCCAGGTTCTAGAACCTTTCACTAGACAGCATTTGAGTTTTCCTTTAAGCTGATTTTGTTTTAGACTTTTAATGAAGCCTCTTGAAATAATTACTAGGGACACCCTCTAGACATGAAACTAGTTTTTAAATTCTGTTTCTTTGATATTACATTTTTAATATATTGTAATGCCAATTCTGGTTAAAGTGGTATCATAATCAGATTTTTGTTTTACTTTTAAAGATAACTCTCAAAATACCTGTTAAACACATTGTAATTATAAAATAAGATTACTCAACATTTTGAAATTTCATAGAGGTATGAAAGGTAACTAAATACTGCATTAAACACTCTTCTAGGACACAATTGTGGAAAGTTAAAAGGGCTTATACAATTAAAGTAGATTAAAATGGGCTCTTCTTAACTTGACTGAACTTGAAAATCTGAAGTAATGTTTTCGTTTCAGTTGTGACTGTTTTGAAAATAGCAAACAAGATTTTCTGGTTATGTGTTTTGGTTGAGCTTTTTAACCTGCCCCACTAAATAGGTGACACCCAGGCAATAACATGGTCTTAGTGTTTTTCTCTGTTTTGACTGACCTGAATATGGAGGATTCTGAAAGTTTTCAGATCTTTAAAATTGTAGGATTTACTACATGCTGTAAATTTTTGCGTTAGTTTCTAATTGTATATAAAGAGCTGTAAGTTGAAACTTTCACAATGTATGGCTTTATAATAAGCAGAGGAAAGTAGCAAATTTCAGTGCCTAATGAGGATTGTCTTTCCCTCCTTTATTCTCATATATGTGAGTTGTCGTTTCTATTCTGGGTTTAGCCTGGCCCAGCCCTGGCTGTTGCAGCCATTTGGGGGGTAAACCAGTAAATGCATGATCTCTCTCTTTCTTTTTTCCCTCTCCCTCCTCTCTCTCACTCTGACGTTTAAGCAAATAAATATTTTAAAAATGAAAAAAGAAACCTTTGAAGCTCAGGAAGTACTGAGGAGGCTACAAGATTACCAAGGAGGATAATTTTACCAAGTAACAGGAAAAATTGGGGTTTACTATTTAAATATAATCCCATGTTTGTGGAGGCAGATTTTTGCTCTACCAGTTAAGATGCCAGTTTGGAATACTTACATTCCATATTGGGGTGTCAGAGTTCAAGTGCCAGCTCCGCTCCTGCTGGTTCCTGCTAATCTGAGCCCTGAGTGGCAGCACATGATATTGGCTCATGGGGTTTTGTCCTTGCCACTACCTGTGAGGCCCAGATTAAGTTCCCAGCTCATGACTTTAGCCCATCCCAGCCTCAACCATTGTAGACATGAGGAGTGAACCAGCAGATGAGAGAGCTCTGTCTCTCTTTAGTTAATTAATTTTTTGTAAGTTATAAATTTGTGGTGTTTTTGCATGTTGTCAAATCTAATGTTTGTATAGATAAAAATCACATGGCAATTAATAAAACTACAAGGGAGTATTGTGTGTTGTAACTACTTTACTGTCCCAACATATAGCTTACTAAAGCATTGCTTCCTTGTAAAGTTCAGTACCTCTGTACCAAAAATAATGTAGTTAGAGTCATTTTCCCAGATTAGTTATAGTTACTTTTTGTAAAGAACCCGAAAGAAATTTGTGTTTGTACATTATATTAGAGAGACATAAGCTTACCTCCAGCTGAGAAATTCTTTATTTGTGTTGCTTTAGTTTTAGATAACTGTTCTTTCTTCCTGCTTGTAATAGTGCAGATTTCTAAATAGGATCCTCCTATAATAGCAAATCACTCACCAAAAGCGATGTGCAACATTTAAAGACTTATAAGTCCAAAATGTTATAGAAGTGACTTGGTGTCTGACTTTTGCCTTCTTATCTTACTGACTTCAATCTTTCTTTAAATGTTTAAGTGCCAGTTCACTGTTTCGATGCCAACAATTAACTGTACTTTAATATAGAAGTTCTGACAACCTGAGAATATGGTTTCTAACATTGTATTTATTTGGACAAAATTTACTTACAATAAAATCAATCAAGAAGTATTTATTAAGTACCTGATGTGTTCAGTTGCTACAGATGTGTTGTAGAAGCTACAGAGGATATGAGCACCATTGTTATAGGAGTTGCATATACTAATCAAGAAAGCATTGTTACACTAGAAAGAATACCATAAGATACACAAAATTATGTAATTTAATGGTCTATGATTAGATCTGTCACAGGAATAGAGAACAGTGAAAACCACACAGTCAGAAATGAACAAGGTGAAACTTGAAGGAAACATTTAAAGGAAAGTTGAATTGATAAGCAGCAGGATAATTGGTCTTCACACTGGACAACAGTGGAAAAAGTATACAAACTGTGCAGTGACATTATATGTAGTAGACACATTAATGGAAAATAAGACAATGTGCAGTGAGATTATAGAGGCCCTTGATAGTTTTAAATAATATAGATGTAGAGTAGAATTAAATGTAGGTAAGATTTTATGTGAGTAGAAAAAGAGGATTGGCTGAAGCCAGGCTCCTGGCTTCAGATCGGTGCAGCACTGGCCATTGTGGTCACTTGGGGAGTGACCCATCGGATGGAAGATCTTCCTCTCTCTCTCTCCTCTCTGTATATCTGACTTTACAATAAAAATAACTAAATCTTTTTAAAAAAAACATTGACTTGTATACTTTAAATAGGTTAACATTATGGTACATGCTGCTTATCAATAAAGTTGTTTGTGAGTAAAGCTTTTTATTTTTACTTAAATGATTGTCACCGAAAAAGTATGTATCTTTTCCATCTAACTGCAGTTGATTTCTTTAAAGGTTTATTTGATTTTATTTGAATTGCAGTGCTCTAGGGAGAGAGAGGAAAATACAGGGAAAGACCTTCCATTCTAATTCACTTCCCAAATGGCCACAACCGCCAGGACTGGGTTACAGACAGAAGCCAGGAGCTGGGCCCACGATCGTGGACTGACATCCATGCTTTCCCAGACATACTAACGGAGGCTGGAGAGAAAATTCTGCAGCCACAACTCAGCTGGCACCACTGTGGGATGCACAAGTGGCCTCACTGCTGCACTACAGTGCCATCCCCTGTAACTGATTATTAAGGCATAAACTTATGGAAGTTGAAGGAATAAAATTTTGGTTCTCAACAAGCCCTTGTGTAGATTTTTGTCAGAACTAATCTTTTTCCCTTGGAATAACCAGTTTTTAAAAATAGATATGTAAGAAGATATTTAGCAATTTTTCCAGAAGTCTGTCTACATTCCTTTATCTGATGTTAGGAAATGCCAAAAATAATGGGATTTTATCTGTTCTGCAATTTTACATAAAACAAAGATCTTTTTTATTGTAATGCATATTGTCTTCCTGGATTCTGTGTATTCTGTAATTTTCACATCAAATTAGTAGATTAGTAGATTTTAACATGTGGCTTGAGTGTGAGATACATGTGAAAAGTATAAATTAGTGGAAACAGAGAGATTCTTGGAGTGATATGTATTTTTCAGTTTTATTAGCTGTTCTTTTAAAAAATAGTTTTTCTCCAAATGATTAGAAGGAATTATTTTATAGCTGAAGCAGTTTCACGAATTATTTCTTAAAAATCGGGTTGGGTGTGGGAATTGGCCCTGCAGGCAGGGTAAGTTGTTGCTTAGAATGCCTGCATCCCGTATTGGAGTGAATGGATCAAGTCCCTCTTTTCACTTCTAATCAGTTTCTCTACTAATTTACATCCTGGGGAGACTTGATGGCTCAAGTACTTAGCCCATATCTCAAACTGACAGGTGCTGCTGCCCAGCCCAGCCAGCCCACCACAGACTCAGTCCTCACACATAACCAGCAGGTGCCACAGCGTGGTTGGAGCGACCCCCAAGAACACCCACCAGGCCTGCCACAAGTTGCAATTTTTGTGCATGCCAACCTGTGCTTTGGCTTTGCCCAGCCAACCTGTATCCCATCTGGCTCTCATGCATACTTATGGGTACAACAGCTTAGCTCAGCCCAACCCATCCCAAGACCCAACCCTCACATATCCGTATCGGTACCCACTGCCTTATCCAGCCCAACCCACCCCCAGACTCAACCTCACGTATGCTGACAGGTGTCCACTGCCTTGTCCAGCCTGAGCCGCCGCCCCCAGCCCTAGTTCTTATGTTCACCAGTCACAGAATGTATGCATTGTTTTCTAAGATGAAAGGTGATGTTTCTCGAAGTGTGAACTTTGGTTGTATTAACTAATTTCTTTCTTTGTAACTGAGAAATTTTTACTAAAATGAAGAAAATATACACTTTTTGTTTTTTAGTCTTGTCAAGCAGCTGTCATAAGGTTGTAGCAAGGACTAAAAACCATTACTGTAGCAGTGACTATGGCATATCACAGTCAGCGTTACAGAGATTTTATGCTGCTTTCAGAATTCTTAGTTGTGTTATTTGTCTTCCACTGGCTATTATTTGACTTTGTATTTTTTTCTGTTAATATGTAAGTATTATTAGGAAACAGTCCATTTTCAAGCACACAAACACATTTTAAATACTTTAGATAGCATTCCACTTTTGTAAGCCTTAATTTTCTCATTTCATTGGCCTAGTGTCCACTTGGCAAGAAGAGTACTTCAGCTGGAAAAACAGAACTCGTTGATTTTAAAAGACCTAGAACATCAAAAGGACCAAGTAACAGAGCTTTCACAAGAGGTAAGTGACTTAAACAAAAGAAACACGTATAAGAGTCACAATGTTCGCTTTAATTCTTTGTAAAAGTTTTATTTTCTGAGCAATTCTTAAATCTGTTTGCTGGTAGAAAATGATTTCACAATTTATGGAATGGATTGAATGTTAAGGACTTACAAAACAACTAACAGAGTATGGCAAAACTAAGAACAAAAAGGGGATTAATTGTCCAGACTTAGTATAAATGCAGACCAGACAGAAAAAGCTTTGATTTCTGAGAATATCAACTGGCAAAACAAGTTTGGCAAATTTGGGTAACATTTTAAGTTTTTTCAGAAATACCTCATGTTACAAATAGTATTTCTTTTGTCGGTATATGATAAAAAATCACTAAGCTGTTAGATCATTTAAAGAATATGTCCACATTGGACTCAGTGCAAGGGCTCAGTGGCTAAATCCTTTCATTGCAAACACTGGGATCCCATATGGACACTGGTTCATTTCCCGGCTGTTCAACTTCCCAAACTGCTTGTGGCCTGGGAAGGCAGTAGAGGACGGCCCAAAGCCTTGGGACCCTGCATCCACATGGGAGACGCAGAAGAAGCTCCTGGCTTTGGGTCGGATCACCTCTGCTCCAGACTTTGTGGCCACTTGGGAAGTAAACCAGCATATGGAAGATCTTTCTAGCTCTCCTCCTCTCTGTAAATCTCATTTTCCAATAAAAATAAATAAATCTTAAAAAAAAAAAAAAAAAGAATATGTCCACATTGTTTACAGATTTGAAAAAAAAGTGTTTGAGGGACAGAGAAACCCACACAGAGTCCCCATGTACTAATTCCACCCTTAAATGCCTGTGCTGGCCAGGGCTGAGCCTTTGCCGGAATGAGGGCCCATGAACACAGTCGGGATCTTCCCATATAGCTGGCAGGGAACCACTCTGGCATCTACACTGGCAGCAATTTGGATTCAGGAGCCAGAGCTAGAAATTGAACCCAGATAATCCAGTGTTGGATGCAGGCTTCTCAAAGACCAGGACAAGTGCCTGTTCCCTTACACAACATTTTAATCCATTTATTTTTTAATTCTCTTACTTTTTAAATCCAAATTGTAAAACAAGAGTTAAAGGTATCACTGCACAAGTGTTCTTCTTATTGCCTGTGCTTTATTTTTTGTTTATTTGAAAGTCACAATTATACAGAGAAGAAGAAAGAGAAGGAGAAAGAGAGAGACATCTTCAATCTGTTGTTTCGCTCTCCAGCTGTTAGCAATGGTCACAGCTGAGCAAGGCCATTAGCAGGGAGCTAGTTCGTAGCTGAAGCAGCCAAGTCTCAAAAGGACACCCATATGGGATGTCGTCTCAGGCAGCATTAACTTGCAACACCACATTGCCAGCCCTGTGTATATTTAAGATTTATTTATTTGAAAGGCAAAGTTCAAAAGAAACAGACAAAGAGAACTACTTGCATCCTTTGTTTCACACTCCAAACGACTACAACAGCCCAGGCTGGGCCAGGCTGAAAGCAGGAACCTGTAACCCTGTGTGGGCCTCCCACGTGGATGCAGAAGCCCAACCACTTGGCCCTCTCTCACAGCAAGAAGCTGGGTTACTGCAGACTGTGGCTCCACTGGCTGCACCACAGCACTGGGCCCTGCTTCCTACACTTTGACAAGACAGATTTTCTCACTTGATACTTTAAAATTTACAAAAGCTGTTTATCTTATAATAAAGGTGTTTTTAAATGCTCTTAATATATACTAACTATTCTTCCTGTGTATGTTTCCTGAAAAATTTGTTTATATTCATTTTATAGTTTCTTTTTTTTTTTCTTTTTAAGAATTTATTTTTATTGGAAAGGGAGATTTAGAGAGAGGAGAAACAGAGAGAAAGATCTTCATGTGCCGGTTCACTCCACAAGTGGACACAGTGGCTGAAGAGGAGTCAAGCCAAAGCCAGGAGCCAGGAGATTATTCCAGGATCCCAAGGCTTTGGCAAAGTCTGCTTCTTTCCCAGGCCACAGGCAGGGAGCTGGATGGGAAGTAGCTCAGCCAAGACATGAAGCTGTGCCCACATGGGATCCGAGTGCTTGCAAGACAAGATGTAGCCACTGAGACACTGCACCAGACCCACAATCTCTTTTTAATACTGCAACTAGAAGAATATGCTATAGTTTCAAAAAACCAAAAATATTTCATATTACTGCAAGGTCCGTAGTTAATACTCAGAGTAAGCATAGTGGAGTGCTGATAAAGGTTAACAGCCAACTTTCCAGTAAGTACATGAGGAAGAGTGATTTGTAGCCTTTGCCTGTTTCTTCTGTATAAATATTCCCACCATGACTAACTTCAGGTAGCACACTACTATATAATGTTTACACCATAAAGATATCAACATACATATGCAAACTTGAGAGCATAGATAATCATAATGCAAGTAAAAATTAATGGGCTTGAGGACCAGTGTTGTGGAATAGTGCAAAGAGCCACAGAGTGTTACAGCATCCTCCCATATGGGTGCCAGTTTGTGTCCCAGCTCTACCACTTCCAGTTTGTCTCTCTGCTGAAGGCCTGGAAAAAGCAGCGGCAGATGGCCCAGATACTTGGGCCCCTGCACGCCACATATGAGATCCAGTTGAAGCTCTTGGCTTCTGGCTTAATCTTGGCCTAGTCCTGACCATTGGAAGCCTTCTGGGGAGTTATCCAGGGGGATAGAAGATATCTCTGTATTTGTGTGTGTGTGTGTGTGTCCCTATCTTTAGCTCTTTTCAAATAAATAAATAAATCTTTTAAAGAGCTTAGCAAGTTATGGTATATTTTTTCTTCTGTTTATCCTGTAGCTTACCTGTTCTAGACATTTCATGTAAATGGAATTATGCAATGCACTAAGATTCCTGCTTTTAAATTATGTCCATATCGTGGCACATGTGCAGCACTTTATTCTTTTCTGTGGCTGAATGACATTCCATGTGTATATTTACCGTAATTTGTTCATTCGTTTCATTTATGAACATTTGGGTTTTTCCACTGTTTGATTATTAATCATCGTGCTGCTGGAACATGTAACTGATGTACCTGTCTTCATTTCTTGTAAGTGTGTAAGATTTGCTAGGTTCACCTTTCTTTTTTCCTGGGGAAAGAAATTGAAAGATTCTCTCCTCTCTTCTCTTTCTTTTTTTTTCTCTCTCTCTCTTTCTCTCTCTGTCTCTCTCTCTCTCTCTGTGTTAATGCATGAAAGATATTGTTCTGCTGTCTTGTAGTTTCATTGTTCCTACCGTTGTATTCCTCGTCATATCTTCTCATCTGTGTCTTACTTGGTTAGCTGCTTTTAAGATTTGTCACTATGTTTAAGCTACTTTATTTTCTGACTTGCTGTAGTTTTCTCTATGCTTCCGGTGCTTAGGTTTTGAAAGATTGTAGTGTTAAGTTTATTAAATTCGGACAATTTTTGTTTCAAAAGTGTTTTTTGTTGTTGTTATTCCATCTTCTCTTTTTTGGGGAACTCAAATTAGACACATACTGTACTGCTTGAAGGGGACCTAAAACCGAATATAGTAGAGATTCTATTCTTTTCAGGTTTTTCTCTACATTTTGTTTTGAAAAATTTCTCTTTCCTGTTAGGTCCATGGTTTCTTTTCCTTTGTGCTATATAACCTGCTTTCATATTGTTCTTTACCTTTGCAGACATGGGAATTTTTTACTGAATGTGAGACATTGTGAATTTTACCATGATGGGTAGATAGAAGTTTGTGCTAATTTTGTTTTGGAAGATGGTTTAAGTTTTTTGAAGACAGTTTAGTGCTTTCAGGTCTTACATTTAAACTTTTGAAAAAAAAAAAGAGAGAGAGAGAGTTTCAGAGTAGTTATCCCTCAGTACTGTGAATAAACCCTTGTGACTTTGAGATGCCCTGGCCTGCGTGTGGTGAAGCGTTCTCCCCTGACTGAGCCCAGTAGGCACTTCCCTGGCTTCCATTAACATCAGAAACTGTTCTTGCTAATCTTATTGGTCGTTCTGGCTGTGGACTCTGGTAGTTTCTTTTCATGCAAGCGCTGTTCAGTCCAGGTGAATAATTCAAGGGGGCTGTGTGTAGATTTTCAGCATTTTTCCCTCGGCAGCTCCCTTGATGTCAGTACTCTGCCAGACAAGCTCTGGCACCTCTGTTTCTCCTTCCTCCTTATCTCAGCGAATTTGGCAGCTTCGGCCTTATTTTCTTTTCCTGCATCACAGCCTAGAAACTCTCTCTACATAGTAAATGCGTAATCACTGGGCTTGCCTTGTTTGCTTTCTATGACTCAGGGGTCACTGTCCTTTGTTACTTGTTAGCCAGTCTCTGTAAACTTGTTTCAGTCATAGATGTGGCATTGAAAAAACAAAAAAGACAAATAATTGAATTTGGTTTGTGTGTGTGTGCATCTACTCTCTCAGAAATTCTCAAGAAATCATTTTGAGAGTGCTGATGAGTAATTTGTTAAGCAGTTGAAAATCCAGGCTGAATTACAAAGCCTGTCACATTAATACCACCAATTGGTCTTCTCGAACAACATTATACAGTAGCAGGTTAAGCCACCATCTGTGATGGCAGCATCTCACATGGGCGCTGGTTCGGTTCCTGGATACTTCATTTCCAGTCCAGATCCCTGCTAATGTACCTGAGAGAGCCACGGAGCGTGGCTCAATTCCTTGGGCCCCTAAAACCACATGGTAGACCTGGATGAAGTTCCTGCTTCCTGACCTCCAGCCCCAGCTGTTGCAGCCATATGGGGAATGAACCAGCACATGGAAGATCTCTCTATCTTTACCCCATCCCACCCCTGTAACTCTGCCTTTCAAATAAATAAGATAAATCTTTAAAAAGGAAGAAAAAACAAAAAGAATTGTTCTTGCTTAGCTGCCTTAAGCTCTCATGCTTGTTCTTCCTGTATCCAGTTGTTCAGAAATCATTTCTAAAACTCCCAGTAAATTCAACAACTAATGGCACAAGAGGCACAGTATTTTTTTTTTAAGATTGATTTATTTTTATTGGAAAGGC